AATATACTTTGACTTATACTTTAAATTAAATTATATAAAAATTAAAAATGGCACACCTTCGATTTTTAATTTTGTTAATTTTACAGTTATTATTAAGATAAAAATCGGCAGTTTCTATAAAATTAGCATAAAAGTTAAATAAATATTCTTTTTTATTTGTTAATTTTTCCAGCATATGAATTTTGTATCAAAATTAGTACGAAAAATCACTGATTGCCACAAATTAAAACTAATTTTAATTTGGTAAAAGATTTTGATTAATTGAATCGAATAATATACCTTGACTTATATTTTGAATTAAATTATGTCAAAGGGAAGAAAAAATTACACACTTGCAACATGTCTGATAAGATCAGCTTTCCATTTACTTGTACGTGAACAATATTTACAACGAAAAGGTCGTTCATTAGTATGCACACGTTTATGTCTAATCATTTCTGATACCCATTTACCTTGATAACCACATACGGAACATGTTCGTGTAGATACGTCGGGATCTGTTTCAATACGCTTAAAAAATTTAAAAAAATTTTTTTTAATGAAACAAAATTCACATTCATTTTTATTGTTTGAATAGTTGATTTCATCAAATTGATTTTTATACTTAAAATTTTGCATAATTCAATTAACTTTCTATAGATGAGGTAAAAAACTTTGGAATTTAACAAAAGCACATTTAACTAAATTAATAATAATAAATAATTACTAAATTGATAAAAATAAATAATTAAACTAAACTGATTTAATCGATTCGATTAAAAAAAACCTTCATTTCTTGATCATCAGTAGGAGCTTCGATTGCTTCAGCTTCTGTCAAATAACGCTTATGAAGGCTATCACTAGCACCAATATCATCAGCACGTTTAGCTACCAAACCATCTAAAGTATTCGCTGGATTTGCTATTTTATTTCTGGAACGTTTTCGATGATTTTGTTGTGAGCTATTCAGTGTTATTTCTGACATCTAAAACATAATACTAGCTACTTTAATAAATCGTTATAAACTTTAACAACCTAACTTAATATAGAGCTAACAATACATAGATTGGACTTCAAGTTGCGGTTAAAATGAAGCTTTAACGTGAGCTATTGATAGATATTAAATCATAACCAATCAAAGAAAACAAAAGTTTAATTTTTTCAAACAAAAACACTGAAATTGATGACATATCTCATTTTCAAGTACTAGGTTAGTCAAATAATTATAATTTATTGTAAATTTTAATTAAAGAAATAAAAGCTGCCAACTCTAGTTCTGTGAAGAGATTTCAGAATTTGTTTTGTTTTGAACCCAAAAATGACTTCGCAAATCTCGAATCACACCTATATAATAATAATTAAGTTAATTATTTCCTAAAATTGTACTCAACACGTTTCAAAAACTAAATCGTAAATTTTTTAGTTTTATATATTACTCAGAAAATTTCAAATACTTGTTATAATTGTAAGTAAATATTAATTTGAATTAAATTAAAATGATCGAAATTTATTTAAATTAATAGACGCACAAATTTCGAGTTAAAAAGCACTGCTGATTAGATTTTTGAATTATAGAATATATGCTAAACTATTTATCTATCTAAACAAGAATTTGAAGTAACAAATATTACGCAGTAAATATTGTTAGTTAATATAAAAGTATTGCTTTTTCAAGCAATGAATTGCACAAAATAACTTACTTAAAATATTAAAATTGTTTAAAAATTATAAATTACTAACTTTTTGTGAAGTTAATAATTTATTAACAAATTTAATCGTTTTACAAAAATAACAGTACAGTCATATGAGAGAAATTAAGAAATAACTCATTAATTCAGTTTTCAATTTACTATTTAGCTTATAAAAAATGAATACATGAAAAATACAAAATATATTTCTTTTATTATATTTAATTATTAATTTCTTTTACACGAAATTTTATTAAAAAAAAAAAACTATAATTTATATAATAAAATTTTTAAAATAATAAAAAATATATATTTTTTATTAATTTTAATTACTAATTTATTTTATAAAAAATTTTACTAAAAAACTATATTTTTGCTAAAATTTGTAAAATAAATGTGATAATTGCATGAGAAAAAAAAGAAAGCAAAGAGTTAAAAGCAAGTAAAAAAGGTTATTTTAATTAAAATTAATCCATCAAAGCCATAATTTGCATAATATTAATTGAATAATTGTTTAAATTTTTAACTAATTAAATAGAAAAGAAACTGATGGATTTATTTCGTTTCATCCTAATGATATTATTGAATTTCTCAGCAAACTGTCACACATTACTTCCTTGTATGGGAAAGAATGTCCAGGAAGTGGTAAGATGAGACGATGAAACCGATAAGAAATGTAACACTCAAGAAATGTTGCGCAGTAAAAAAGTAAGTAAGTACATAAATTGAACGATTGGCTCAATCACGTTTATACACACATTGAACTTGTCTTGATTTTTTTTTCTTTTTTTTTGTTTACTTTTTATCATTTAATTATATTTAAAATATTTACTTATTTATTTATTTACTTATTTATATTATTAATTATTTATGTTTGACATTTACTATTTAATATTTTTCAATTATTTAATAAATTGATTTACAAACAAAAAAAAAAAGGAGAAATTTTAAAAAAGTTAAAAATATTTATTTGAAAAAGAAATTGTCATAAAAATTTTGCAAGAAAAAAAATTAAAAGAAAACATGAAAATTTATTGGAAATTGAAAATGTATGAATTGCTGAAACATTGAAATAAATATTTCTTCAACTGCGTGAAAAATCAACTTATTTTAGTAGCAAAAGTTAAGAGAGAAAACTCAAAAAATAGAAAATAAAAAATAAAAATAAAAAGTTGAAAGGTCAATTATGTAAAAATTTAATAATAAATTGTCGGAAAGTTCATAAGCTCAAAGTTTTTAAAAATAGAAAAAATAGTTGATAAGAAATTAATGCGCATTATATTACTTTCTCAGTAATTCATTCACTTTCTTTCCTTTCTTTATTTTTCTTCGTACAATTTTTATACTATCAATTGAAAATTGCAATTTCAATTTTTAAAATTGACACTTATTCAAATTTTGATCAGCTTTCTTTCCTTTTTTGGTAAAAATTAATCAAAGTGCAGTCACAGAGTA